TAGATTTAACTATTTCATTTTTGGGGGTGTTAATGTAAATGGTAATGTGTTTTTATTTCAAATTCTACTCATTCATTGCTGGTATATAGGAAAATTGTTGACTTTTGTATATTAACCTTGTATCCTGTAACCTTGTTATAATTGCTTATTAGTTTCAGGAATATTTTTGTCAATTATTTTGGATTTTCTACATAGATGATCATGTTATCTGTGAACAAAAACAGTTTTATTTCTTCTTTCCCAAATCTATAAACCTTTAATTTCCTTTTCTTATCTTATTGCATTGTCTTGGACTTCCAGTACAATGTTGAAAAGTAGTGGTGAGAGAGAACATCTTTGCCCCTTTCCTAATCTTAGTGGGAAAGTTTTCGTAGATGTTCTTTATCAAGTTGAAAATGATCCGCTCTATTTCTATTTTGATGAGATTTTAAAAATCATGAATGGATGTTGGATTTTGTCAAATATTTTTTCTGCATCTGTTGATAGGATCATGTGATTTTTTTTCTTCTTCTTTAGTTTGTTGATGTGACAGAATATAATTGATTTTCAAATGTCTAACCAACCTTGCATACCTAGGATAGATCCCCCTTGGTCATGGTGTATCATTCTTTTTATGCATTGTTGGAGTTGACTTGCTAATAATATTTTGTTGAGGATTTTTGCACCTATATTCATGAGGGATATTGGTCTGTAGTTTTTTGTAATGTCTTTGTGTGATTTTGGTGAAGGATATTGCTGGTTTTACAGAATGAGTTAGTATTTTCTTTGATTCTATCTTCTGAAAGAGATTGTAGAGAATCAGTATGATTTCTTTAAATATTTGGTGGAATTCATCAATGAAACCATCTGGACCTAGTGCTTTGTTTTTGAAGGTGGTTGTTGTTATTATTATTATTACTGTTCTTATTATTTAATATGAATAGAGAGTTTATTTGGGCCAAGGTTGAGGACTGTAACCCAGAAGCACAGATTCCAGTTTCTTTGACTATACAATCTGATTAGCAGCAATTACAAGAGGAGTTTCAAAGACAAAGAAGGGAGACAATGAGTGGGCTGACAAAAAATTGTTTTTCGTGAATTCTCATTGGTTTAGAGAAATAAAATTGATTAGCGATTGTGCATTGTTAAGCTACAGAGTGTGAGTTATAGTGTCTGGCGTGGCATTATTAGATTAATTTATAGCTACTTGAGACAAAAACAAATAGTTTCAAGAGACAAATACACACCTTAAAGGGAGGAGGAGGACATAATTGAGTCTCTCTGGGTATAATAATTAAAAGAACTTGCCATTATCAAATAAAAGTTCCTTTTTTTTCACATCCCAGGATCTGGATTCACAATTTGGAGCTGCAGCTTTAGGTCTTGGAGGGGTGGGGAAGCAGCAGGTGCCCTCTGTACATTTGTGGGCACTTGGGCAAAAGGGAGATGGAGTTGGTATTCTCAGGTCTACTCAATGCACATGTGTGAGCCTGGCTGGGTTTCTGGGCCCCATGGTCTCTGAATCTGATACAGGTCTGAAGATGCACTTTGCTGCACAGTTGTGGGTTGTAACTGGAAAGCTGAGAAGGAAAGGCCCTCTAAAGTGAAGTCTGGTCGGCACCTTATGTGTTTATGTCATGTTTGGTAATTCTGGACAGTGTTTGGGAAATATAATTGAAAAGAAAGTAGTTTCCAAACCCAGAATAACTGTCCACAATGGTAGAACAGAAAGAAAACTGATTTATTTCACAATTAAGCCAGAATGTGAAGTAAATCACAGGCAATCTGCTAAGAGATTGCAAAGACACAAAGAAAGTCACGATAATTAGTCCTCAAGTAGAAGACTTGACAGCACCATTTGTCATATATAGTTCATCTTTGAATGTTGTTATTAATTCAATTTCTTTAATAAATATAGGGCTTGTCCGATTATCTATTTCTTCTTGTGCGATTTTGACAGATTATATCTTTCAAGGGTTTGGGTCCTTTTAGGTTTTCAAATTTATGGGTATAGAGTTCATAATATTTCTTTATTATTCTTTTAATTTTCATGGGATCTGTAGTGATTTCCGCTTTTTATTTCTGATACTAACAATTTGTGTCTTCTCTCTTTTTTTATTAATCCGGCTGGGGCTTATTGATTTTTATTGATCTTTTCAAAGCAACAGCTTTGGTTTTGTTGACTTTCTTTACTGATTTCCTGTTTTCAATTTTGTTTATTTCTGCTCTAGTTTTAGTTATTTCTATCATGCTGCTTGGTTTGGATTTAATTTGTTTTTTTTTTTTCCTAGTTTCTTAAAGTGAAAGCATAGATTATTGATCCTTTTTATTTCTATTAATAATATTCAATGTTATACCTTTCCCTCTAAGCACTGCTTTTACTGCATCCCACAAATTTGATAAGTTGTATTTTCATTTTAAAATTTTTCTTAAGATTTCTTCTTTGACCCATGTGTTATTTGGAGAAGTGTGTGGTTTAATCTTCAAGTATTTTGAGATTTTCCAGTTATCGTTCTGTTATTGATTTCTAGTTTAATTCCACTGTGGTCTAAAGGCAGACATTGAATGATTTTTTTATTCTTTTAAATTTGTTAAGGTGTATTTTATGGCCCAGAATGTGGTCTATCTTGGTGAATGTTCCACGTGAGCTTGAGAAGACTGCTTATTCTACTGTTGTTGGATGAAGTAGTCTATAGGTGTCCGCTATATCTAGTTGATCATGGTGCTGTTAAGTTTAACTATGTCCTTACTGATTTTCTGCCTGCTGGATATATCCGTTTCCCATAGAGGAGTGGTAAAGTCTCCAACTGTAATAGTGGATTTGTCTGTTTCTCCTTGCAGTTCTTTCAATTTTGCCTCATATATCTTGATGCTCTTTTGTTAGGTGCACGCATATTAAGGATTGTTATGCTTTCTTGGAGAATTGGCCCCTTTATCATTATATAATGCCCACCCCCTTTTTTTCTGATAACATTCTTTGCTCTGAAGTCTGTTTGGTCCAAAATTAATATAGCTACTCCTACTTTCTTTTGATTAGTGTTAGCATGACATATCTTTCTCCATCAATTTACTTTAAACTATATGTGTTTTTATATTTAAGATGGGTTTTTTGTAGATAACAATTCTTTTTTTGTGATAACTTTTTTTTTTTTTAACTTCTCTGGAAGCTTTTTAGGATCTTTCACTGTTCCCTCCCAGTGTTTTGGAATCAGAAAATACTGATGTGTGCTGTATGTTGCGTGTGTATATTTTACTTTTGTGCCGGACACTTGTTGAGTTCATTCATTCCATAAACTCATATCTCTCACTTATAGGACATTTTCTGCAATAGAATCTGCCCCATCCCCAAACTGTTTCTGTTTGATTTTCTCTCTCTGGAATGCCATTTATTCAAATATTGGATCTTCTGGATCGTATCTCTAGTTTTTAAAACTGTTTTTCCTTTCCTATTATTTACTTTTCCTTTTGTTTTCTGGAAGAGTTCCTCAACTTAGTCTTCAACCATTCTACTAACATTTTCACTTCTGCTCTCGTATTTTTAGTTATTGAGAATTTTTTTGGGTCTCAGTGTTTATTTTTTTAAAAAATTTTTTTAGAGACAGAGTCTCACCACCCCTCTCTACTATTTTCAGAGCTCATAGTCCCCCAGGTCCTGAGCGTTTCTGATATGCTATGATATAAATTATCAGGCTTTTGGGCTTCTCCTATTGTTGGCTTTTTTGAATGCAGCTTTCCTCTTTCACTGGTCGGTTAAGTTAATT